ATATATATATATATATATATATATATATATATATATATATATATATATATATGTGACATGGTTTCACAGAAATTTTATGTTGTATAATTTACCTTAATTGAAAATGTGTTCAATTGATCATTTTATTTTGTTCAGTTTATTTATGTCGTCGTCTTTGCTTATGTTGTTTTTAGCCAAAGTTTATTGTTTTATACTACTAATTATAATATTACTGAAGCAAAATTAATATAAGTAAAATTGTTCTAGGAAAATCTATCCTGGTAACTGTCAAAACTCATCTGGCCTTTGAATTACCAGTCTAACACACACACAAACACACCCACACACACACACACACAAATCAGAGAGCAAATTAGAAGTTACATAAATGAAAAAGTAAAATCTCTATTCATATCTACTGTCCCTGTAAACCCTTTAGTTGGTCTGTTTTTCTTCAGATGACTTCTGCACAATAACATCTTTAATATAATTTTCAATTTTCCATGTTTGGGGTTTGATTAGCATTTGAGAAATTAGTATAAAAATGGGAACATAAGGTGATTTGAAAATCAATTTGCTTAATGGAAAATATATTCTATGTTTGCTTTTTGTGAAATAAAATTTTTATTGTGTAAACAATTTTTAAAAGGGAAAAAAAAATCGAAACAGTTACTGTTTGCAATCCGGATATCATGCAATATAAAAGGATAGTTAGATATGAAGTTCCCAACACAGGCTGGAACATTCACCTCATCACCTGTGCTGTGCTTGTTTTTCTGTTTAGCCTCCCAAGGCTGATCTCCAAAATGGTGTTCTACGCAATTATATTATCAGCTACAAGGAGTACGACCATGTGGCCAAAGTATTTCTAAAGGCAAAGCAGCTTAGTTTGACGGCTACAGGTGCAGAACAAAGCACCTTTCTGACTAACCTGAAGCCTTCAACTCAGTACAGTGTTCAAGTTCAGGCCAAAACAAGTGCAGGACTAGGACCTGTTTCAACGGCACGTTTCTGCACCACTCTAGAGGAAGGTAAGCTGGAAAAATTTTATTTCATTACAGTATTTTAAAGATTAATTGAATGTTTGACTCGTATTCTTTTATTCTTTTTTTTTAAAGTTAAAGCAACCACAGCAGCCAATACTCTGTTATCTAGTACTACTGTTTCTACAAAACAGATTCAGTATACAAGTCTTAGTGATGGTATGTAACATAAAACCACTACAAGTATGCTTTTCTACAAAATACATAAGGTTGAATATATAAAAAAAGCAAAGAATTTAAAATGAAATAAATTTTCTGCTGTGTTTCAAGTCCACACAACTTCAACTTCAGCTGGGACTGAGTCCACATCCACGGTTATGGAACAAACATCTTGGAGCAAACATCTTTTGGAACAAACAAGCTTCATGACAGGTGTGATTTATTTTGCATCTTTAAGTTTTTATATTGTCTCCTGTTAAAGAAAATTCACTATTTACTGCTTAAGGATTTTTTTCATCATGATAGCATTCAGCAAATGTTATAGAATAATTGTAAATGAGACATAAATGCAAAAAACAATTTTTTTTTAACCGAATATCCTAGCTGTGGTGCTTGGAGTGCCTCCGGACCCACCTGTAATTGTGTTGGAGGAGGTGAAAGGAAAAACATTTTCACTTTTCTGGACTCCTGGCTTTGAGGGCGACAGCCCCATTACTGGTTTCTTCCTGCAATATAAAGACACAAATGGTGAGAAACGAGTCCGTATATTTAACACTGCTGACAAGCTGAGCTTTAAATTAGCTTTTAAATATTATTTTTTTTTTTCTTAAACATTTTTTTTTTTTCATTCACAGCTTCCTGGGACAAAGATCGATTAGTAGATTTTGGACCCAATTGGACAACGGCCACGATTTTAGAGAACACTCCTTCAACATACAACATCCGCATGTTTGCGAAAAACAGTCATGGCATGAGTAATGCCAGCAATGTTCTCACTGTAACCATTGAAGAAACAGGTGATGTTTCCTTATCTTCCTCATCCATCCATCTATCTGTCTTTCTTCCGTCCATCATTCCATGTGTCTTTATTAGCTAAAACCTTTATTTTTTATCAAAACGCTATTGCAGTTCCTGAAATTGCAATTTTCATATCCATGTTTTTTTTTATGTTGTTTCTGTTTAATAAGCAGCTTTTTAAAAAAGAAAGTTATATAAGTTCCTTTTTTTATTTCTCATGGTGGTGTGGACTTTGCAGGTCAGCAAAAGAGCAGTGTCATTGCCACCATGTCAACTATTAATGACGATTCTGTAAGTATTATGCAACTACTGGTAACAATAAAATAATGTTTACTAGAGGAGAGAGAAAATCATTAAACTATTTTAAAAATAAAATGTTATTTTGGCTATAGACTTAACTTATTTGTCCACCTTTAAGTTTCTCACAGCTTTGCTTCATTCTTACAGCCTTCTTAACTTCTTCTTAAATATGATCATCTATGATTTCAGATTGTTGATTTAATATCAGGTCTTGCTGCTGAGCTATTTTCTTAATAATTTGTCTTTGTGAATAAATATAATTCTATATCTTTTCTGACAGGCGATTGCCGGCCAAAGCAGTGGTGTTCACATAGCTGCCATCATTGTGCCAGTTGTAGTGGTGCTATTGGTTGGTGCCATTATAATTGGTTTGCTACTTCAACGTGAGTTTTCTCTCCTTATTCCATTTTGTATCGACCAAACAAATCTCTTTCTCTACTTTGATCCTTGCTCTCTCTTCACAGGTATAAAACAGAGGAAAGGTAGCCTTAATGTGTAAGTGTTTGATTTCATCTATCAAAGTTGAAATACTGAAAAGGAGATTTTGTTGAGTTGTCTGCAAAAATGGTTTCAACTGCATGATATAGGTGGGTTAATAAGCTCAATATGGAGACACAAAAAAGAGAAAGTTTTACCAAACAAATGAGCTAAAGGCTAGTTTATAGGAGGCTTTGTACCAAGGCAGTTTGGTGTTCTCTTTATCTTTTAAATCTCAATCTCTGAAGTTATTATTAGTGGGAGCTCCCTTACATGTAGTGGATACATATCAGATCACACTGAGGTTTTATAAAAGCAAATAAATATTCAGATCTTTGCAAAACAAAAATGCTGTTAGGAAAGACACTCCCTAGTAATGACAGACACTCTTTCCTCTTTAACAAGACATTGATCTTTTTTTTTTTTTTACTATTTTCTAATTCAAACAACATTTGCATGGTAACTCTTCTCAAAAACATGTTGAGGCTTCTAACAATGTTAATCTGCCTCACTACACATGACTTTGTGATTTGGCAGCAAGCCCTTTATTTGTGCTACTGTATTGTAAAAAAAAAAATACCATCTCTATTGTTCCCCATTTATTGTTTTTGCATTTGAGGAACTTGTTACCTTAAGTGTCAGGGTGCTGTTGTGTTACAAAAATGATATCTCAGGGTAATATCATAATTACATGACTATCTTTTTAAGATCAATTCTACATCTGGCATCAAATATCATTTTAAGCTTTTAGATAGCTTTTTGGGTGCTTGTATAAACACTGCATCATTTTTTTCTGCTTGTGCAGAAGTAAACAACATTAGTAGTTGTTTTCTTCTAGCTGCCACTAGGTGACCGGAGGCTAATGCAAAGTAAGGCAACATTTAGCCAGATGTTTGCAATCTTTAGAATGGCCTGGTTTATATGTTTAATTATTTTCTAACCCCTTAGGTGTCTTCAACTAACAGCATAGTAGAAGAGAGTCTGCTTCTATTTAGCAGGACTTATAAATGAATATAAGACTTTTTGCATGAAGCACCCCTTCAAGTATCTATTTTGCTGAAAGTATCTCTTCATTAGGTGAACTGAGACAAAACCGTCTGCAGACCTTTACAATAGAACCCTAAGCAAACATTTTCTCCACTATAAAAACCAACATTAAATTAAATGTATATTATCTGCTTACAGAAAAAGAAAAATCCACCTACAATCGTACTTTTTATATGTAATCATATGTCAATAGAATAATGATAATAATGAAATATGTGATGATTTTGCACATTATAATGATAATGTTTCCAGCTTAAACATCTTTAAGTTTAAAGTTCCGGCTGTAAATCAGCAAAAACGGGTTACAGTTTTTCTAGCTCTCAGGTTTAACAATTTATTCCCTTTGCAAATTTAATGGAATATAACATACAATATGTCTCCTATCCTAGAGGGAGGAAACATCTCCAGCTTTTAAACAGTAAATGCATAAGCCGTACATTTTGCATAGATTTGGATTATTTCCTTACAATTAACAAATTTGGTTATGAAATACTTTTGTTTTCTTTTGTCTGCTACTTGAACTATTTTTTATTTTTTTTTTGGTCAAAAAACAGAATAATTTAAACATATGTGCAAAGATATGTGGGAAAAAATCTTATGTTTATATTCCTCCAATATAAGCAGTTGGTACAAACCTTATTTGCTAATTCATGCACGGTATTGTTTTTCCTTCAGCTAGTAGCATGACTTCCATTTTATAGCACACATATAATATTAGATCATCTTGTTTGGATCACATTCTTCAGTGCAAACAACTATATACTCCTCTATAAAAACATTTACAGTAATGGGAGAAAGAATGAAATAAATTTTTGAGATCAGGGTTGTTTCAAGATGGTAAAAATCTGCCGTGAACCTTTACTGTAACTGCTAACTCTGTTGTTTGGTTAGCCTGCCTCTATCTCCAACCGGAAAGCACTGTTATCTGCTTTTAGACAAGAGCTGATTGCAGATAACAACTGCTCTGAATCCGACCTCTAAAAACCCAAATGATCTCTTTAAGATATCAACACATTTAGCCCAACTGAACATTTTCTCTGTATTGTTTGCAGGTGGCTGAAAAATGGGGCAATTCATTACAAAGGATCAGATTCCCTAGAAGAACTGTGAACTTTGTTTCTCTACATTCAACTTTTGAATACCATAAACAACAGAGTAGTTTATATTAATTAGCTATACTAAAAGCTATATTATAAAAAATCCTTTTTAACTGAGAAAAGATTTGCTAACAAGTAAACCTTCTTGTGTGTTTGAGTCAAACAAACCACAGAAAAGTTAAAGCTTCTACTGTACAACTATTTTGTTTTAAAAATTGTTATTTTTTTAAGTGATGGTACCACATATCTGCTTAAGTTGGTTTGATTTTTTTTTTTTTAACCAAGAAACTTTTTTGTTGTTTGTTTATTCAAATGTAAATCAGCCTCCACAATTTAGCGATTTGCTATCAACTTTAAGCTTTTTTCCACTGACATCTCAGGTCAGCTCACAACTTGGCACATTTTTCCCACTATGTGTGAAATCACAAAGTTCACAAAACATATGGTGCTAATGCTAATAATGTTATGTTAGCACAAACACTCAATCCAGTTCAAAAGGTTAGACTGATGGGAAATCTCTATGAACCAGGCTACTGCTGGCATTGCCATGTTATGAGTCAAATTTGAGAGAATGTTTGGAAATCATTGTTTGGACTGTGTTACTAAGGTTCAGATATTCAGCTGGATGTTAAAAATGTATCAGTTCTACAAAAATGTATTGTTTGTACAAATTTTCACAGTATTAATTTGTGAAAGAGATAAAATAAAACTGAAATAATTTGGATCACTGAAATCTTGACTTCATGTCGTTAATGAAATAAAATGTTTCATGTTTTTGCTTCATGGGGACTCCTCATCAGCCACAGTACATTATGTGACGAGGCCGCACTGTTTCCACAGGAGATGCTGAAGATTCTCGACACTCAGGACAAGTCTTAACACCAGACTAAAATGTATCGCAGTCGTTCAGAAACCATTGTCGGACTATGCTTTTAACAGTTATATGGTTTGTTTTCAGAAAATAACATTTCATTAACAATTTTTTACAAAAAAAAAATATATATTTATTTGGATTTATATTTACAAGTTATTTGGATTTCAATCAAGACAAGATAAAATTGCTTTTATAAAATTTATTTTCCTTAATTTTCTTAGATAAAGATACATATTAAACATAAAACTGCATGTTTCAACGAGCACTGCTCTTTGGAAACCAGACACTAATTATAACATTGAAATTTATTAGAAACGTATTGTTTTATCTCTAAGCAATACAATTATACCTAAAAAAGCGGCTAAGTCTGTGTTAAAGCTTTAAGAATAACAAAGCTGTTCAGTCGCGAGTTTATTGTTTTTTATTGTGTCCAAAATCCACTCAATATTTTAGTGCATTGAGACATAAATGTAAATAGAAAATATCATAAAACTGTGTTTTAATGATAGATTCTTGTAATAATGCTATTTTGTTTATCTGGTCTCATTAATGAATAAATAATCAACCCCCTTTCAATGTGAGAAATATTGACAAAGGGCTTATGGAGAGCCTATATCCTATAATAAATAAGATTTTGAAATGTGAAGCTATAAGTTATATTTTAACGTCTGGGACTGTGGGTCACCTGTCATTGGGTGAAGAAGAAAATTTTAGTTTTTTAAAGTAGGGAGAAGATTATGTTGATTCTGAAACTTCGTTATTACCTCAAGTTATATTTTCAATGACAAAAAAAAAATTATATTTTTTTATACTGCTCAATAATGTGGCAACACAAAAACTGTGTGGCAGCAACAGTAGTTATGATGATAAAACCAAATTTACTCATAAAGTGCTATCTACTTTGATGATAAATTTGTATTTTAAAACTAAGAAATAGGTATTACACTTGAATTCAGTTTATCTGAGGAAATACTGCCACCTGCTGGTTATATGATATAATGCATAGTGAAATATGTTAAATATGTAATATGTTAAATATGTAGTTAGACAACTTTTATTGTCATAAACTGAGACTACACAAATAATGATCTGGCCCCGATAGCTGGGCTGAACCGTATATATAGCAGAAGGAGCAGGTGAATAAGATAAATGATAATTAGAGAGTTGGAGGCTACGGCAGGTGAATGAAGTAGGTAATTAGATCAGCTACTGAGGCTGCAATTATGGCAGAACAGTCCATGGTGGGGAATTGAGGGGTTACTGATAATGTTACGGGCTCGGGACACGCAGCACTAGGATAAGATGTCTTATGTAGAGAAGAGGAGCCCGATGATTGATGAAGTTGCAGACTATAATCTAAGATAAAAATACTTTTAATATTAGATTGTTTAACCACAAGTACTCTAACCTTTATATGTGGAAACAAAGGAAATATATCAGTTGTACAAATGCATCTAAATAATCCAGTTAAAATGAAAAAAATAAAGTTAGAGTTTTTCCTTTGGATGGATTCGTCTTTTTTATAAAGCTTTGTCTCTTCTCCAAAAGACTTCTACATTCTGAGCAGTTACAGGTGCAATATATAAGAAGTGCCTTTGCATAGTGCATCACTATGTTAATGGTGACAATCAAACTTGGTTGCTCACATGTAAACGGTGACCATCTGCAAATCCTGATGACAACAAATAACAACTTGTTATTTGTGAAGAAATGAAAATAATGTTTAAACGTACCTATAACAGCAATGGCATTTTTAAGCCTTTTTGAACCCTTATTTAAACTGGTTTCTTTTTATCCTGAATTGTTTACACTCTGATCACTGCTGCACTTTATAATGGTAAAGTTTATCTACTCCAACTGCAGTGTTATGACACTGTTGTAAGCTGTATGCAACGAAATTTATACTCTTTGCATGCAAACTGAATGTCAAGGTCTGGGATTTGACTGGTTTCACGCTCTTACCAAATGTCAGGAGGATCCAGATAACCCCATGAAGCCTTTGGTAACAACCTGGCTTTGCAACAGAATCTCAAGCTGTACAAAATCAATGACGCACCAAGCGGCAGGCACCTCCAAAATTTCTTTGGGTAATTTTTTAGTTTTTCATTAGACCTCCTCCAGTCAGGTTCCCTCCTTTCTCAAACACATTGACTTTTCCACATTGTAATTAGACTTGGGGGGGTGTGCCTTTTGACAACAGTTCAACATATTACAGATGACTACAGTCCGAAAGCAAAGCTATCTAAGTTATTAGCTTATTAATGATAAATACCACTTAAAAGTACATAAAAGAACAAAGAGAATCAACTTAATTATCATATTTATGGTCATTTTGATTCTGTTTTGGAAACCGTCCACAAATCCTAGAGAATATCAATAAATTAAAGATCCTCTTTTTCTTCCTTCCTATTTCTATTCTGTGTAAATTTTTTTCATGCTAAAGACATTTTTTTGGTTGGGTTTTACAATTTTGCAGTCAATACAAAAAACATCTTTAAGAAAATCTGCATGCTCTTACCCTATGACAAGTGCAATTTTTCTGTCCTTTTTTATTGGATTAAAACAGAATCAAGCAGCTTGTCCAGGGGGGGACTTTCTGATTCTTCCCTACTACTGATGAAAATCAGTCAGGGAACCATAACTATTCCAAATAATGTTCATTGTTCAGTAAAAAACAGCCTTACTGATGATGGGCTGATGACCTATCATTAAAGGAACCAAACATTCAGTTGAAGGAACCAAAAATAATAGAAACGGAACAGCATGTGTTCTGCAAATGCCACCAAAGGTGTCTGCTGGAGCATATATAGGTAACCCCGGGATATTTAAAGGCTCAAACAACACTGGAGTGACTTGAGGCAGTGATCAGACAATTGAATCACTGATCCTCTTCAGAGAAATAAGATGAGTCATTTTGGAAGTAGATGTTTTCCTTTGTATTGCTTCCTTCTCTTTTGTCAGCTTAAAGGTAAGGCAGCTGTTTATCAGATGGACATTTTTATTTAATTAAGACTAATTAAAGGGATTCATCTGTAATCGGATATCTCCTTCTCAGGTTGCGCCTCTCTATATTACGTAACAGCTACAGTAGGAGCAGATGTTTCTCTAAAATGCTCCTATAATGCCTGGCATCATGGCCCACTACCTTTCTGCTGGGGCAGAGAATCCACATCCACCTTTGGTTGCAATAATCAGGTGATAAAGTCAGACGGGACATCCGTGGTCAGCAGGCTGTCATGGCGTTACTCTCTCTCTGGTAATCTTCGTGGAGGAGATGCTTCGCTCACCATTATGCAGGTTCAGGAGAGTGACGGGGGCAAATATGTCTGTCGTGTAGAAATACCTGGATGGTTTAACGATGAGACAACTGAAAGCATTCTTCGTGTCAATCCAGGTATTCTTTTTTAGAGAAAAATACTAAATATAAAAAGTATATCTGTTAGTTTTATGTGTGTATAACATTGCCTTGTTGCTTTGACATTTTAGGACGTCCCTCTCAACCATTGGTGTCCATAAGAGTAATAATGGAAAGAGCAGTCAGAGTTGGCTGGAATCCTCCATTTAATGGTGGCAGAGCCATTACAGACTATATAATTGATGTGAAAAAAATATATGGTAAACATAAACAGATTGATCATTTATTAAGAATGAATATTTCAAACCATGAAGCCTGTATCTTAATTGTTACTACAATTACAGATCCATGGAGTAGTGCAATAAGAAGTTGGGTTAAAAGTACTGATGCCACTGTGGTTAATTTGCGTCCTGCAACAACGTACAACCTCCGCTTGTTTGCTGTCAACAGTGTGGGGACCAGTGATGCCAGCAATGTTCTGACGTTTACCACAAAAGAAGCAGGTAAAATGATCCAGTGGCATGAATGTGAAGTGTCTAGCAAAGTTTTTTTTTTTACATCTTGTCAAAATGAAACCGTATTAAACACATTTATACCAAGTGTTTGTAAAGATTAGCTGCATTTGTTTTCAGCTTTCATGAGATAAACCTTTTAGAGTTGTGTTTCGACCAGATTTGGACATAAACACCATTTTTGTCCTTATTTAAAAATGCACAGGAACATTCAAAATGAATGCAGAGCCTGTGAAAACACCAGTATCCAACTTCTGCAAAGATAACATCTGATTTTAATTTAGACATCGATTAATTAATTTATTTGATGTTTACAATCTTCTATTGTAGCTCTGTTGCACAATTGGGTGGTTTTCAAGCTAAATGGTGAGCGTTTACCCTGGTCTAGTATTTTTTTGCATACTGACAGTTTTTTCTTCCAGAATTTTCCCTGTTTTTCTCCACCAATATTCCAAATAACTATGCAAGATATAGATGTTTCAGCTCAAGAAATGGATCCCCACAGCATGATACAGTCAGAGCTATTTTCTCCTAAAGAGATGCTGTGTTCAGTTTGATCTGTGGTTTTACTTTCTGTAGACAAAGTCTTTTGACATATCCTTCTCTTATATTCTCCTACCAGAGCAATGTTTCGTTGCTGATCTTCCACAGTTTCCACAGACATTTTGGCTGCCTCACTGTTTTTGATTAATAAAAGAAAGTCTAAATTTGGTGTTGGTTTATCATATAGAGTTGACATAAGAAACATTCTCCAATGAGTTTTCTTTTTTCAGCACCCGAGGGCCCACCCCTTGATATGCAGCTTCAAGCTCTCAGTACCAAGAGTATCAAAGTGACCTGGAGGGTAGATTCACACACTTAAAATTTATATATTTTCATGAAAACACAGCAATAAAAAAAAAAAAAAACTCCAACCCTCACATTTGTAATCCTGATTTTCTTTTAACCTTTCTAGCCTCCAAAGGTTGAACTAAGGAACGGCA